AAAAAATAGAGTGCCTGGCAAACACTCGGAGATTTGTGAGGGTTCTTCGATAAGTCATGATCCTTCTAGAAACTCCAGCACCCATTCTCCCAGCATCGCGTGACTTCCTCTGTTGTAACAATACTTAACAAGGCTAATTTTAACTGTTTTTTATTTCTATATATTGTTAAATTATTATTGTCAATATTAGTATTGCTGAATAAGTCTAATTCTCTTTAGGTGGTACTTTGGTAAGATCAAGAGGATTGAATCAGAAAAGAAACTGTTACTACCAGAGAATGATCATGGGGCATTTCTTGTTAGAGACAGTGAAAGCAGACGCAACGATTACTCACTTTCAGGTACTTTTTTTTCACGTATCTGTAATTGGATAATTTAAACATGTCTAGGTTTGCAGTGCTATAAAATTGAACATACTTTGCATGGTAATGTTTTCCTGTTATAAAATGTTAACATACTATAAAAGTTTTATGGGAAGGACAAAAATATTAAACAATTTCGTAAAGCACTGATTAGTTTTCAAAAGTACACAGTTGAAGTTGAATGTTCTTAATTGATTAATTTTTTACCTGCTAAAACTTATACTAACTTTTTTTTAAAATATTCTCCTGCAAAAGATGTTGCTTTACATTGTTTCAAGCACTTTTCACTACTGTCTGCACAGCAGAGTGATGATACACATTTTGAATTTTTTAACTATTGTTAGTACAAAGTAAGTGGTGTAAACCAAATTATAGACAGTACAGGGACAATATATCTGGGTTCACATTGCAATTTGCGAATCAAAACAACCCTATTTGTGAATCACTTTCATCTTTGATTAGCATAACATGTGAATCATTCCTTTCTCTTGTATGTTGTCTTAGAGATCTCCAACAGTACAGTGAAAATGCTGTAACGTTTCAGTTTCGTATACCAAAGTTAAAGCTGATGTTCATTTCTTAGAAATTCCTACCAAACAGCGCATACAGTATTTTCACACTTTATGTGCCTGGTCATTATTCGCAACTTAGCCAACTAGACTACGGTATGTATCTACAACATATTCACTGCACATTTAGCATTAAGGCAGTTACAAACTCTCTGAATACAAGCTGGGTCCCAAGGACCAAACATGTGAACATTTTTATTTGTATATACTTTTAATACTATAACTTTTAATACAGTATGTGTATCTTCATAACATTTAGCAGACTTTTAGCAAATATTACAAGTCACTTATACATAAAATTGTTTTTTTAATTAAATATTTTTACTAAAGATTTGTCCGTGAATATTGTTGCATATCTGCTTGTTTGTTAATTTCCTGTGTAAATTCTTTCCGAGAAACTTTAGCAATACAAGTCCTTTCTTAATTAAAACTAGTTTATTCTTTCTGGATACAACTTTGCAATACACAGAATTTTCACAGTCAATACGTTTGCAATCTCGATAACAAAACCCACACTTTATATTACCGTCACTACAGCTCGCTTAGCCCAATTATCTGTCTCTATATCTGTCTATCTGCAATTATATCGCAGCTTTATTTGCTGGGCTTATATACTAAAAAGAGGGCACCTGGAAAAGACTAGAGTTGCCAGGACAATTCACGATCCTTTGAGAATCTCATCATGTGTCACGTGACTTCCGCTGTCGTAACACTGCTCCTTCCTTAGTATTATGGCAAACAGTTATACCAAGAAAGTTATGGGAAGTTGTGCTGCGTCAATCCCATGATAGTTTAACAGGAGGACATCTCGGAGTTAAGAAGACATTGAGTCACCTACGACAGAGATTTTACTGGATAAGTATGAGAAAAGTATGGAAGAAGATACGTCCTGTAAAATTAAGAGACTTTGTTTAATTTTAATTTTTGTGTTTGTAAATTCTGTACATTTAATTAAGTTATTGTTAATTATCTATTGCTTTAATGTAAGTGGCTATTGTTCGGGATGAATCTGCAGTTTCTCATCTCTGGACAAGAATACGTTCTTGCTCTCCACAGTTCCAACAACCTTTCTGGATAGCTGTCTTTCCTGCCCTGGCATCTTCCCTGTGTTGAAGTTGCCGGTATTGAGCTCTCTTGTGCCCAAGTTTGTTACAGTGCCAGCAAAGTCCCTCAATCTTCTCTGAAAGCTGCCCCTTTCTGGCCTTGAATCCTGATACTGTACCAACCTTGGTACCTCTGTGTTGGACTTAATGTAGGAATCGAATTCAAGAGCTCTGGCCATTGCATCCTTCCTAGTAGAGGGGTGTGCTTGCTTTACTTGTATCTGCAGTTGTGGACTGTCCAAGGCATCTACAAACTGATCCCTCAGCAACAGCTTGAGGACATCGGGTGGTGCAGTTGGATAAGCCTTGTGTGCCATACTTTCCAAATCCTGTGCCAGCTCTTGCAGGCTCTCCCCTTT